CACACCTCCAGCGACATATCCTCGTAGAACACCACGTCCGACGTGATGACTACCCGGTTGGCATCTATGTCGAGGAGCTCCCATCCCTTGCTCTCCGTCGACACGCCAAGGTGAAGGCCCCACCTGGCCTTCGGCTTCAGCTTCCCACCACGCTGCTGCTCGGGGACGAGGAACTGCGCCATGCAGCCCCACACCCGCGCCAGCGACAAGTCGGGATTCTGCCCGGTGAGCAGCTGGTACGGCGTTGTCCCCGACGGCAGCGTCGACCTCTCAAGGCAGTTGCGGACCCAGACGGCATGCAGCAGAGCGTGGTGCCACCAGTGGTGCTGCACGCCCATGTGCAGCAGCATCATCGCACCGACTCCACCACTGTCCTCATCTCCCGCTCCGCCATGCCGTTCAGCTGCGGGGTGTATGGGCAGGTCCGGTCGTGGACGATCCCTAGCTCGTCCACGAAGTCGGTGAACTTCTTCCCGAGGAACTCCCCTCCTCGGTCCGAGCGCAACATCAGCACCGACTTCTTCGTCTGCCTCTCCACCAACACCAGCCACTTCTGGAACTCCAGCAGCACATTCGACTTCCTGGCGTCCGGCCTTACCCACACGAAGCGGGTCTTGTGATCCTTCAGCAGCAGGAAGTACAAGCTGCCGTCCTTTGCAGCCACGCGGAACGGCCCGCACAGGTCGATGTGCACGACGGCCAGCACGTCGTCGGCGTCGGAGCCTTGGTCGGGGAAGGTGTGTCGCGCCAGCTTCCCGCCGACGCACGAGACACACGGGGAGTCGGCGCCCGTCGCCGACGTGAGGTCCAGCCCAATGGCGACCTCGTTCTTCGCTGAGCTCCATATGGTGTCCATGCCGACATGTGCAAGCCTCGCATGCATTCGGTCCGGAGTCGACTTCGTCTTCGAGACGATCGCCCGCCGGGCCACAACCTCCAGCGTGGTCGACGTCGACCTCGTTGAGCAGGGACGCAAGCCGGTGCAGAGGACACGCCCGGAGTACGTCGCCCGACCGAGCACCTCTCCCGTTGCCGAGACGAGCAGCATTCCGTCGCCGTCCTCTTGCAGCTTCACGCCGTGCTCCTTCAGCTGGCTGGACGACAGCAAGTTCGTCCGCACACCCGGGACGTACAGCACGTCGGGGATGAGCACCTGATTCCCGGCCTCCCCTTGCAGAGCGACAGTGCCGCGGCCCTGGACGTCCTGCAGTGCCCCATTGAAGCCGCGCACGTGCTTGATGGAGCCGCTCGGCTGCAGGTCGACGAAGACTTCCTTCGTCCCCATCAGGTGGCTGGAGCAACCGCTGTCGAGCAGTACCACCGCCGGGTTCGCTTGCACAGCTGCCGCCACCGCCTAGAAGTCCTCCCCGGCCTCTGGCGCCAGCAAGACGGTCGGCTCCACGATGCCGACCAGCGAGCACGACGCCGTCTTGTCGTCCCACCCCTTGCCGCCTGTAGAGGAGTCGGCGTCCTTCGCCGAGGTCGACGTCGTCGACTGCTTCTCCTTGCGCGGCTTGTTTCCTCCTCGACGAGGAGGACGACTGCCAGACCTCCCGCGGCCTCCCTTGGCGTCGTCGTCGTCGGAGTCATTGCGGTCGGGGCACTTGAAGGAGAGGTGGTCGGGGTCGCCGCACAGCTAGCACTCCCGTCGTCGACCTCCTCCTCCTCGACCGCTGTCTTTGGTCGACTTCTTCTTGTCGACCTCCTTAGCCGTCTTCCTGCCACTGCTACTGCCACCGCCGAACTGTGCGCGCTGCCCCGGTCGACCTCCTTGCTTCGCCGGGGCGACGAAGTTTGCCTGCGCCAAGAGCTCTTGTGACCGCTCAGCCTCCTGCATCGCCTCATCCTGCAGGATGTACGAGGTCAGATTGTCCTCGTTGAGCGTTGTCCTCATGCTCGGCGCCATTGACAGCCGCTTCAGGAGGTTGTAGCTCCTCGAGAGTCCCTGCATAACGTGGGTGACGAACGACGCCGTCGAGTACTGCGCGCCGGCCATCCTGATGGTGGCGAGAATTTGTCGGGCCCGGTTGCAGTAGTCGGTCGCCGTCTCCTCGCCGCCCATACGCAGATGAGTCAGCTCCCCCTCCAGCTGGGCGATGAACAAGTCGTCGGTGACTTGGTAGGTCGACTCGATGAAGTGCCACACCTGGTGGCCGGTGTCGAGGTACTCTCGGCACCATTTCAAAGCGATCTGCACGCCTGGCGAGCAGCACCGCGAGATGACCGTGAAGGTCAACAACTGCACGGCGAGAAACTCTGCTCGTAAGTCGGCGTGGTGCTCCTCCGGCGTCGCCACGATCCCTCGGGCGAAGCCGATCAGCCCAGCCATCTCTAGTTGGGGCTCGATAGCTTCCTTCCAGGTGAGAATGTCAGGTCGACCAACGAGCGGCGGGGTGACCAAGATCCTGTCCGGCGTGAACTTGAACTAGCCGTAGCTCAGTGCAATCCCGCGTGCCGTCATCTGGGTCGCCGACATCGGCGACAATCCGCTTCGTCGTCCTCCGACGTCGCCCTGTGAGGTGCCTGCAGCCGCCGTCGACCGCATCCCTCGCGTCTGAACGCCGCCGACTTCATCGGCGTGTATCACTCCTCTCTGCATCGACATGCCTCCCGCACTGCTGCCGACCTGGTCACCACCAGCTTTGACGCCCACGTCAACGCCGACCTCTGTGTTCACCGGTCGAGGAGACGCCGGTCGAGAAGGGGGATGCTCCGACGCCCACATGGTGCGGAGTCCAGCCTCGACGACCGCCCACGGTATCTTCCCATACTCCTGTGTCATAACATTATAGCTTATGCTTTTGTGTAGGCTGTAGTGGGGTATCCCATAGGGGGTACAACCCAATTAGGGTTAGTACTTGTACCCACTTCATTCATAGTTCATTCATTCTCGTTTCAGTTTTCTCATCATGGGCCTCATGGCGTCTCCTCGCATCCTCCAGCCGTCCCTCCAGGGTGTCCATCACCTTGGCGTCACCTACGCGCACGCTAGGGACTGTACGGCTGCCGGCCTACGAACAACTTAGGTAAGTGACCTCTACGTCGACCTGACTGAAAGGTAAGTCGTGTTCGATCCACGCTCACCGCACCATGCGAAGATAACTACTACAACGGGAGCTAGACTACGGGCTAGGCACGGGTGCTTGTATGATCTCTACGTTCGTTAGTCCTTAGTCGTTTTCCTAGTGCACATACAGCTTGCTAGTTCACGGGGAGAATTGGCAAGAGTTTCACAAGAGAAAGTTGACAACAATGGTACAATGAAGTTGGCATGGCAAGACTACATCAGAGCTAGCATTCATGCCTAGCTTCTAAGATCCAGCGCATGAACGGGGTCCCTCACATGGGTGCAAGCGGGGGGTTAACGGGATGAAATTTTCGGGAACCTTCGTCCCGATACCCTCGCATTCAGGGTCCACAAAACGCGTACTCTACATAGACAGAGTCAGTAAGAACACTACTTTGAGACTAGTTACAATATTTCAGGGTTCGGTGAAGCACTATTCTGAATGGATCATTGTTCACAAGTTAAAAATTCTGAAATTGCAGGGACCACCAGGTGAGAAGCCTGTAATCACCCTGAAATCAAGGTAATTACCTTAATAAAATCAGCCCTGCTTTCACACCACAAGATTCGCCCTGACACAACCCTGTCAGAGCATGTTCTCCCGGAAATCCCCTTAGTCTAGCATGTTTCGGTATCAGATGAAACATTGAATACATTTCGGATGAAACATTGAATACCGTACATTGGTTTTGAATGTTCAAACTTTTTTTTAAAGTCACTCTGAAATTTAAGCCTTTTTTAATACCAACTCTGAGGGGTTTCAGACTAAATAGTGTACTAGTCTGACGAATCAGACAGGCCAAAAACGAATCTGAGGGTCTGCTCAGTAGGGTCGTTTTGTAATTTCTGATTCATAAGACAAGAAATGCTTGAAATTCTGATGCATAAGGAAAATTTAAAATTTCTGATAAATCAAACAGGCCCGAAGGGCCCCTCTGATGCATCAGGGGGGTTCAGGGACTAGCGAGGGCCCTGATGTGCTTGTTGACAGGATTACGCTGTATATCGGTTAATGCACACATTTTCTTGACAACAAGTGCCCAGCTACCGGTACCGTATACTTCCGGACAAAACACCCCCCCATAATTGTACACCCCCGGGTAGCTTGTGCGGGGTGGGTGTTATGATAGACCTCGTTTCTACTATACCCCCCTTTTTGGCTGATTTTCTATAACACCCCCCTTTTCTTACGGATTCATTATTATAGTCGTTAACGAGTAGCTGCAATACGGAAGAATATCGTGTGAATTTCTCCCTCAATGAAATTTCGCGGTACATTCAAAGGCAATCTGCCGAGATTTGCCCCCTCCCACTATTTCTCTGTTGCCACGTGCAGGTGAATCTTCCGTTGCAAGTGGCAAGAGAGGTGTCACATGGCATTTTCGTGAGGGCGATGAAGTTCGAGGCGGAAACTGACATTCGCACCTCAGGCAGTGATGCTAAAACGACCAGCAAAACACCCACATTGACTAATTAAAAAAACACTAACACTAAAATATGCCATATGTAAAGACCCGGGTATTATGTATTTTTTTCCTATGAGGAGACCCCCCACCCCCCCCATTTTTTCCCTGTATTTTTAGCTATACCCTAGGGTGTTATGTCCGGGAGAATACGGTACTTGGCCAATGAGCGATTGATTGTGAAAGGCTGTCTTGGTGAAGAGAACCCAGACTCATCTGACCAGTTATTTACAACAGCCCCAATACCCAATGCGTGGCTTCCCCTCCAGGCCGTACACTGCCGCGCCCAAAAAATCAGGGTAAAATACAGCGTACAGTATTTCAACTGTAAATGTGTGGTTTCAACTGTATATCGGTTAATGCACACATTTTCTTGGCAACAAGTGCCCAGCTACCGGTACTTGGCCAATGAGGATTGATTGTGAAAGGCTGTCTTGGTGAAGAGAACCCAGACTCATCTGACCAGTTATTTACAACAGCCCCAATACCCAATGCGTGGCTTCCCCTCCAGGCCGTACACTGCCGCGCCCAAAAAATCAGGGTAAAATACAGCGTACAGTATTTCAGGAGCCCCAATGCTCACAGCATGCAAGCCTTGACTGCATCAGGCTGTGTGCTGTGCATGCTCATGCGGTATGTGGTTGGGTAGGGGTTGCCATTCAAAATAAGATAGCCGAATCAAAAGACTGGTGTGATCAATGCTCTACTTCCAGGTGTGCTCCTTGTTGAGGGATTTGCGGTTTCGCTTGAGTGAGTAGGTGATGAGGGGCTCCTGCTCCACCGCACCACCTGCATGCACCTCACTGGACGAGCCATCGTGTGGCACAGCGGGGACGCCTCCTCCACCTCCACCCGCAGCGCCTACAACTCCCAATGCCCAAAGGGCTGTCTCGCTGTCTTGCGCTGCTGCATGCATCCCTGCCTCTCCACCTGCATGCATCCCTGCCTCTCCACCTGCATGCATCCCTGCCTCTCCACCTGCATGCGCCTCCCCCACTCGCTCCACCACTGCAGCAGCAGCACTGCTGCCGTCATGCCTTGCAGGCTGTGCACTGCTGAGCACCGCCTGCCCTGCCCGCCCCGCATGCCCCCCAGCAGCCATCTGCCGCCGGTGCCACTCCTCCCACTCGTCCACCTCCCCCCTCCTCGTGCCCGCCCTCCCCTCCACCACCTCATCGCCACCGCGCCCTGCCTCCCCCGGCACCCACCCCTCCCGCACTCCCATTCCATCCCCCGCCCTCCCCTCCCCCCCACCATCCCGTGCGCTCATCGTGTGCGCCCCACGGCACCCCTCAGGCCGCACCAGCCCGCGGGCAGCAAGGATGGGAGTGCGCCGCAGGATGTCGTCCATCGCCACCCCGCGCGCCTTCCTGCGACTGCGCTCGCGCTTGCCCTGCGCCCGCCACCTCACCGCGCCCCCACCTTCCTCTCCCTCCCCTCCCTCCCCACCGTCCCCTCCCTCCCTCCCGTGTCCGCCCTCCCCAGCGCCCCCCTGGGTGCAGCCAGCACTGCCTGTGCGCGGCAGCGGCAGCGGGGCAGGCAGCGCCCCCTGGGGCACGCGTGGCGGGGATGCCATGCGCACCCACCTGCTCTGCACTGCCGCATCCGCGCATACATGCACATTGCCTTGCCTCTGCTGCTGCTGCTGCTGCTGCTGCTGCTGCTGCTGCTGCTGCTGCTGCTGCTGCTGCTGCTGCTGCTGCTGCTGCTGCTGCTGAGGGCGCTGGGCGTGAGAGTGGGAGTGCATCTCGAGCCAACCAGTGTGACTCTCGCCTGGGCCCCCACGGTGCTCGCCTGGGCCCCCACGGTGCTCGCCTGGGCCCCCACGGTGCTCGCCTGTGCCCCCACGGTGCTCGCCTGGGCCCCCACGGTGCTCGCCTGTGCCCCCACGGTGCTCGCCTGTGCCCCCACGGTGCTCGCCTGTGCCCCCACGGTGCTCGCCTGGGCCCCCACGGTGCTCGCCTGTGCCCCCACGGTGCTCGCCTGTGCCCCCACGGTGCTCGCCTGGGCCCCCACGGTGCTCGCCTGTGCCCCCACGGTGCTCGCCTGTGCCCCCACGGTGCTCGCCTGTGCCCCCACGGTGCTCGCCTGTGCCCCCACGGTGCTCGCCTGTGCCCCCACGGTGCTCGCCTGGGCCCCCACGGTGCTCGCCCCAGTCACTGTGGTCGTGCGCGGGGCACTCACTCTGCCTCTCAGCACTGTGGTGCGGCTCAGTAGCGCATGGATGCAGCGCAAGCAAAAGAAACGACTGAACCTCCTCATCCATCCCACTCTTGCTTCCCATAGCCCCACTGTGTTGTTGCGCTTTCTCTGCCGTTCCCCTTCGCTCCACCATCACCTCTTCCTGCATCCTGTCGCCCCTCTCCCCCCTCTCCTCTCTTTCCCCTTCTTTCCCCCTTTCCCCCCTCTCCTCCCGCTGTCCCCTTCCCCCTCTCTGCTCCCTGTCATCCCGCGCCCCCCACTGCCCTCGCTGCATGGGCACAGCACCCCACGCCTGCCTTTCCCCATCCACGCCCACGTTGCCACGCGTAGGGGGCAGGCAGGAGGCAGGTGGGTGGAAGGGGGGGGCGGAGAGGGGAGGGGGAGAGAGGGGGGGGACGGGGGGCAGGGGGGCGAGCGCCCAGGGGGAGGGGGAGGGGTCAAGGTCGCCGTGGGAGGCGTCCAGGTCGACCAGGTCCCACACGCCGCGCGCCCCCCTGCCCACCGCCTTCGCCTCTCTCTCGCCCCTCTCGCCCCTCCCTGCACCTGCACTGCCTCTCACCTCGCCGCGTGAACTCGCCTCAGCTCGTCCCTCCTGCGCCACGGGCAGCACAGGTGGCCCCGCGCTCACCTCCACGCGCACGGCGCCACACATGTGTGGCAGCGCAGCAGCGCGGCAAGGCGGACCACCATGCGTGCGTGCCGTGCCCACTGCGCCCCCACTACCACCATGGCGGTGGCTGTGGGCAGCAGGCAGCGTGGGTGGAGGCGAGGGCGATGTGCGTGCACGCGTGCTACTCACCACCGCGTCAGCTGCGTGTGCACAGGCGCTGGGAGGCGGGGCAGGGGTGGTGGCAGCGTGTGGTGGTGCAGGAGGCACGGGCACCATGGGCAGGGACGGACGCAGAGAGGTGGGCTCATCCAGTGGCGTGGCGGAGATGGCTGCACACACATGTGCCGCCCGCACCTCCCCCGGTCCCCTTCCCCCACCTGCCACCTCGCCTGCTGCCACTGCTGGCGGTGTGGGAGGTGGTGGTGGTGGTGGCGGCGGCAGACGAGTGGGGGGCAGCGGCTTGGCGAAGATGAAGACAGCAAAAAGACCTGCCCAGAGGCACCGGCAGTGGGGCATGAGGGGCGCAGGCAGTGGGGCATGAGGGGCGCACGAGGAGGAAAACGCGAATGGTTGGTAAGCAAGTGCAAGGGAGGGCAGGGCTAAGGGCATTGAGCAGGGAGCACACGAATGTGGTGCACACTGGCACGAATGTGGTGCACACTGGCACGAATGTGGTGCACAGTGGCACGAATGTGGTGCACAGTGGCACGAATGTGGTGCACACTGACACGAATGTGGTGCACAGTGGCACGAATGTGGTGCACAGTGGCACGAATGTGGTGCACACTGGCACGAATGTGGTGCACAGTGGCATGAATGTGGTGCACACTGGCACGAATGTGGTGCACACTGGCACGAATGTGGTGCACGCTGGCACGAATGTGGTGCACACTGGCACGAATGTGGTGCACACTGGCACGAATGTGGTGCACACTGGCACGAATGTGGTGCACACTGGCACGAATGTGGTGCACACTGGCACGAATGTGGTGCACACTGGCACGAATGTGGTGCACACTGGCACGAATGTGGTGCACACTGGCACGAATGTGGTGCACAGTGGCACGAATGTGGTGCACACTGGCACGAATGTAGTGCGCACTGGCACGAATGTGGTGCACACTGGCACGAATGTGGTGCACACTGGCACGAATGTGGTGCACACTGGCACGAATGTGGTGCACACTGGCACGAATGTGGTGCACACTGGCACGAATGTGGTGCACACTGGCACGAATGTGGTGCACAGTGGCACAAATGTGGTGCACACTGGCACGAATGTGGTGCACAGTGGCATGAATGTGGTGCACACTGGCACGAATGTGGTGCACAGTGGCACGAATGTGGTGCACACTGGCACGAATGTGGTGCACACTGGCACGAATGTGGTGCACACTGGCACGAATGTGGTGCACACTGGCACGAATGTGGTGCACACTGGCACGAATGTGGTGCACACTGGCACGAATGTGGTGCACAGTGGCACGAATGTGGTGCACACTGGCACGAATGTGGTGCACACTGGCACGAATGTGGTGCACACTGGCACGAATGTGGTGCACACTGGCACGAATGTGGTGCACACTGGCACGAATGTGGTGCACACTGGCACGAATGTGGTGCACACTGGCACGAATGTGGTGCACACTGGCACGAATGTGGTGCACACTGGCACGAATGTGGTGCACACTGGCACGAATGTGGTGCACACTGGCACGAATGTGGTGCACACTGGCACGAATGTGGTGCACAGTGGCACGAATGAGGTGCACATTGGCACGAATGTGGTGCACACTGGCACGAATGTGGTGCACAGTGGCACAAATGTGGTGCACACTGGCACGAATGTGGTGCACAGTGGCATGAATGTGGTGCACACTGGCACGAATGTGGTGCACAGTGGCACGAAAGTGGTGCACACTGGCACGAATGTGGTGCACACTGGCACGAATGTGGTGCACAGTGGCACGAATGTGGTGCACACTGGCACGAATGTGGTGCACACTGGCACGAATGTGGTGCACACTGGCACGAATGTGGTGCACAGTGGCACGAATGTGGTGCACACTGCCACGAATGTGGTGCACACTGGCACGAATGTGGTGCACACTGGCACGAATGTGGTGCACAGTGGCACGAATGTGGTGCACACTGGCACGAATGTGGTGCACACTGGCACGAATGTGGTGCACACTGGCACGAATGTGGTGCACAGTGGCACGAATGTGGTGCACACTGCCACGAATGTGGTGCACACTGGCACGAATGTGGTGCACACTGGCACGAATGTGGTGCACAGTGGCACGAATGTGGTGCACACTGGCACGAATGTGGTGCACACTGGCACGAATGTGGTGCACACTGGCACGAATGTGGTGCACACTGGCACGAATGTGGTGCACAGTGGCACGAATGAGGTGCACACTGGCACGAATGTGGTGCACACTTGCACGAATGTGGTGCACACTGGCACGAATGTGGTGCACACTGGCACGAATGTGGTGCACACTGGCACGAATGTGGTGCACACTAGCACGAATGTGGTGCACAGTGGCACAAATGTGGTGCACACTGGCACGAATGTGGTGCACACTGGCACGAATGTGGTGCACACTGGCACGAATGTGGTGCACACTGGCACGAATGTGGTGCACACTGGCACGAATGTGGTGCACACTGGCACGAATGTGGTGCACACTGGCACGAATGTGGTGCACACTGGCACGAATGTGGTGCACACTGGCACGAATGTGGTGCACAGTGGCACGAATGTGGTGCACACTGGCACGAATGTGGTGCACACTGGCATGAATGTGGTGCACACTGGCACGAATGTGGTGCACACTGGCACGAATGTGGTGCACACTGGCACGAATGTGGTGCACACTGGCACGAATGTGGTGCACAGTGGCACGAATGTGGTGCACACTGGCACGAATATGGTGCACACTGGCACGAATGTGGTGCACACTGGCACGAATGTGGTGCACACTGGCACGAATGTGGTGCACACTGGCACGAATGTGGTGCACACTGGCACGAATGTGGTGCACACTGGCACGAATGTGGTGCACACTGGCACGAATGAGGTGCACATTGGCATGAATGTGGTGCACACTAGCACGAATGTGGTGCACACTGGCACCAATGTGGTGCACACTGCCACGAATGTGGTGCACAGTGGCACGAATGTGGTGCACAGTGGCACGAATGTGGTGCACAGTGGCACGAATGTGGTGCACACTGGCACGAATGTGGTGCACACTGGCACGAATGTGGTGCTCACTGGCACGAATGTGGTGCACACTGGCACGAATGTGGTGCACACTGGCACAAATGTGGTGCACACTGGCACGAATGTGGTGCACAGTGGCACGAATGTGGTGCACACTGGCACGAATGTGGTGCACACTGGCACGAATGTGGTGCACAGTGGCACGAATGTGGTGCACACTGGCACGAATGTGGTGCACACTGGCACGAATGTGGTGCACACTGGCACGAATGTGGTGCACACTGGCACGAATGTGGTGCACACTGGCACGAATGTGGTGCACACTAGCACGAATGTGGTGCACACTGGCACGAATGTGGTGCACACTGGCACGAATGTGGTGCACAGTGGCACGAATGTGGTGCACAGTTGCACGAATGTGGTGCACACTGGCACGAATGTGGTGCACACTGGCACGAATGTGGTGCACAGTGGCACGAATGTGGTGCACACTGGCACGAATGTGGTGCACACTAGCACGAATGTGGTGCACACTGGCACGAATGTGGTGCACACTGGCACGAATGTGGTGCACACTGGCACGAATGTGGTGCACACTGGCACGAATGTGGTGCACAGTGGCACGAATGTGGTGCACACTGGCACGAATGTGGTGCACAGTGGCATGAATGTGGTGCACACTGGCACGAATGTGGTGCACACTGGCACGAATGTGGTGCACACTGGCACGAATGTGGTGCACACTGGCACGAATGTGGTGCACAGTGGCACGAATGTGGTGCACACTGGCACGAATGTGGTGCACACTGCCACGAATGTGGTGCACAGTGGCACGAATGTGGTGCACAGTGGCACGAATGTGGTGCACAGTGGCACGAATGTGGTGCACACTGGCACGAATGTGGTGCACACTGGCACGAATGTGGTGCTCACTGGCACGAATGTGGTGCACACTGGCACGAATGTGGTGCACACTGGCACAAATGTGGTGCACACTGGCACGAATGTGGTGCACAGTGGCACGAATGTGGTGCACACTGGCACGAATGTGGTGCACACTGGCACGAATGTGGTGCACAGTGGCACGAATGTGGTGCACACTGGCACGAATGTGGTGCACACTGGCACGAATGTGGTGCACACTGGCACGAATGTGGTGCACACTGGCACGAATGTGGTGCACACTAGCACGAATGTGGTGCACACTGGCACGAATGTGGTGCACACTGGCACGAATGTGGTGCACAGTGGCACGAATGTGGTGCACAGTGGCACGAATGTGGTGCACACTGGCACGAATGTGGTGCACACTGGCACGAATGTGGTGCACAGTGGCACGAATGTGGTGCACACTGGCACGAATGTGGTGCACACTAGCACGAATGTGGTGCACACTGGCACGAATGTGGTGCACACTGGCACGAATGTGGTGCACACTGGCACGAATGTGGTGCACACTGGCACGAATGTGGTGCACAGTGGCACGAAAGTGGTGCACACTGGACCGAATGTGGTGCACACTGGCACGAATGTGGTGCACAGTGGCACGAATGTGGTGCACACTGGCACGAATGTGGTGCACACTGGCACGAATGTGGTGCACACTGGCACGAATGTGGTGCACAGTGGCACGAATGTGGTGCACACTGCCACGAATGTGGTGCACACTGGCACGAATGTGGTGCACACTGGCACGAATGTGGTGCACACTGGCACGAATGTGGTGCACACTGGCACGAATGTGGTGCACACAGGCACGAATGTGGTGCACAGTGGCACGAATGTGGTGCACAGTGGCACGAATGTGGTGCACACTGGCACGAATGTGGTGCACACTGGCACGAATGTGGTGCACACTGGCACGAATGTGGTGCACACTGGCACGAATGTGGTGCACACTGGCACGAATGTGGTGCACAGTGGCACGAATGAGGTGCACATTGGCACGAATGTGGTGCACACTTGCACGAATGTGGTGCACACTGGCACGAATGTGGTGCACACTGGCACGAATGTGGTGCACACTGGCACGAATGTGGTGCACACTGGCACGAATGTGGTGCACACTGGCACGAATGTGGTGCACACTGGCACGAATGTGGTGCACACTGGCACGAATGTGGTGCACAGTGGCACGAATGTGGTGCACACTGGCACGAATGTGGTGCACACTGGCATGAATGTGGTGCACACTGGCACGAATGTGGTGCACACTGGCACAAATGTGGTGCACACTGGCACGAATGTGGTGCACACTGGCACGAATGTGGTGCACAGTGGCACGAATGTGGTGCACACTGGCACGAATATGGTGCACACTGGCACGAATGTGGTGCACACTGGCACGAATGTGGTGCACACTGGCACGAATGTGGTGCACACTGGCACGAATGTGGTGCACACTGGCACGAATGTGGTGCACACTGGCACGAATGTGGTGCACAGTGGCACGAATGAGGTGCACATTGGCACGAATGTGGTGCACACTAGCACGAATGTGGTGCACACTGGCACCAATGTGGTGCACACTGCCACGAATGTGGTGCACAGTGGCACGAATGTGGTGCACAGTGGCACGAATGTGGTGCACAGTGGCACGAATGTGGTGCACACTGGCACGAATGTGGTGCACACTGGCACGAATGTGGTGCTCACTGGCACGAATGTGGTGCACACTGGCACGAATGTGGTGCACACTGGCACGAATGTGGTGCACACTAGCACGAATGTGGTGCACACTGGCACGAATGTGGTGCACACTGGCACGAATGTGGTGCACACTGGCACGAATGTGGTGCACAGTGGCACGAATGTGGTGCACACTGGCACGAATGTGGTGCACACTGGCACGAATGTGGTGCACAGTGGCACGAATGTGGTGCACACTGGCACGAATGTGGTGCACACTAGCACGAATGTGGTGCACACTGGCACGAATGTGGTGCACACTGGCACGAATGTGGTGCACACTGGCACGAAGGTGGTGCACACTGGCACGAATGTGGTGCACAGTGGCACGAATGTGGTGCACACTGGCACGAATGTGGTGCACAGTGGCATGAATGTGGTGCACACTGGCACGAATGTGGTGCACACTGGCACGAATGTGGTGCACACTGGCACGAATGTGGTGCACACTGGCACGAATGTGGTGCACAGTGGCACGAATGTGGTGCACACTGGCACGAATGTGGTGCACACTGCCACGAATGTGGTGCACAGTGGCACGAATGTGGTGCACAGTGGCACGAATGTGGTGCACAGTGGCACGAATGTGGTGCACACTGGCATGAATGTGGTGCACACTGGCACGAATGTGGTGCACACTGGCACGAATGTGGTGCACACTGGCACGAATGTGGTGCACACTGGCACGAATGTGGTGCACAGTGGCACGAATGTGGTGCACACTGGCACGAATATGGTGCACACTGGCACGAATGTGGTGCACACTGGCACGAATGTGGTGCACACTGGCACGAATGTGGTGCACACTGGCACGAATGTGGTGCACACTGGCACGAATGTGGTGCACACTGGCACGAATGTGGTGCACAGTGGCACGAATGAGGTGCACATTGGCATGAATGTGGTGCACACTAGCACGAATGTGGTGCACACTGGCACCAATGTGGTGCACACTGCCACGAATGTGGTGCACAGTGGCACGAATGTGGTGCACAGTGGCACGAATGTGGTGCACAGTGGCACGAATGTGGTGCACACTGGCACGAATGTGGTGCACACTGGCACGAATGTGGTGCTCACTGGCACGAATGTGGTGCACACTGGCACGAATGTGGTGCACACTGGCACAAATGTGGTGCACACTGGCACGAATGTGGTGCACAGTGGCACGAATGTGGTGCACACTGGCACGAATGTGGTGCACACTGGCACGAATGTGGTGCACAGTGGCACGAATGTGGTGCACACTGGCACGAATGTGGTGCACACTGGCACGAATGTGGTGCACACTGGCACGAATGTGGTGCACACTGGCACGAATGTGGTGCACACTGGCACGAATGTGGTGCACACTAGCACGAATGTGGTGCACACTGGCACGAATGTGGTGCACACTGGCACGAATGTGGTGCACAGTGGCACGAATGTGGTGCACAGTTGCACGAATGTGGTGCACACTGGCACGAATGTGGTGCACACTGGCACGAATGTGGTGCACAGTGGCACGAATGTGGTGCACACTGGCACGAATGTGGTGCACACTAGCACGAATGTGGTGCACACTGGCACGAATGTGGTGCACACTGGCACGAATGTGGTGCACACTGGCACGAATGTGGTGCACACTGGCACGAATGTGGTGCACAGTGGCACGAATGTGGTGCACACTGGCACGAATGTGGTGCACAGTGGCATGAATGTGGTGCACACTGGCACGAATGTGGTGCACACTGGCACGAATGTGGTGCACACTGGCACGAATGTGGTGCACACTGGCACGAATGTGGTGCACAGTGGCACGAATGTGGTGCACACTGGCACGAATGTGGTGCACACTGCCACGAATGTGGTGCACAGTGGCACGAATGTGGTGCACAGTGGCACGAATGTGGTGCACAGTGGCACGAATGTGGTGCACACTGGCACGAATGTGGTGCACACTGGCACGAATGTGGTGCTCACTGGCACGAATGTGGTGCACACTGGCACGAATGTGGTGCACACTGGCACAAATGTGGTGCACACTGGCACGAATGTGGTGCACAGTGGCACGAATGTGGTGCACACTGGCACGAATGTGGTGCACACTGGCACGAATGTGGTGCACAGTGGCACGAATGTGGTGCACACTGGCACGAATGTGGTGCACACTGGCACGAATGTGGTGCACACTGGCACGAATGTGGTGCACACTGGCACGAATGTGGTGCACACTAGCACGAATGTGGTGCACACTGGCACGAATGTGGTGCACACTGGCACGAATGTGGTGCACAGTGGCACGAATGTGGTGCACAGTGGCACGAATGTGGTGCACACTGGCACGAATGTGGTGCACACTGGCACGAATGTGGTGCACAGTGGCACGAATGTGGTGCACACTGGCACGAATGTGGTGCACACTAGCACGAATGTGGTGCACACTGGCACGAATGTGGTGCACACTGGCACGAATGTGGTGCACACTGGCACGAATGTGGTGCACACTGGCACGAATGTGGTGCACAGTGGCATGAAAGTGGTGCACACTGGACCGAATGTGGTGCACACTGGCACGAATGTGGTGCACAGTGGCACGAATGTGGTGCACACTGGCACGAATGTGGTGCACACTGGCACGAATGTGGTGCACACTGGCACGAATGTGGTGCACAGTGGCACGAATGTGGTGCACACTGCCACGAATGTGGTGCACACTGGCACGAATGTGGTGCACACTGGCACGAATGTGGTGAACACTGGCACGAATGTGGTGCACACTGGCACGAATGTGGTGCACACAGGCACGAATGTGGTGCACAGTGGCACGAATGTGGTGCACAGTGGCACGAATGTGGTGCACACTGGCACGAATGTGGTGCACACTGGCACGAATGTGGTGCACACTGGCACGAATGTGGTGCACACTGGCACGAATGTGGTGCACACTGGCACGAATGTGGTGCACAGTGGCACGAATGAGGTGCACATTGGCACGAATGTGGTGCACACTTGCACAAATGTGGTGCACACTGGCACGAATGTGGTGCACACTGGCACGAATGTGGTGCACACTGGCACGAATGTGGTGCACACTGGCACGAATGTGGTGCACACTAGCACGAATGTGGTGCACAGTGGCACAAATGTGGTGCACACTGGCACGAATGAGGTGCACACTGGCACGAATGTGGTGCACACTGGCACGAATGTGGTGCACACTGGCACGAATGTGGTGCACACTGGCACGAATGTGGTGCACACTGGCACGAATGTGGTGCACACTGGCACGAATGTGGTGCACACTGGCACGAATGTGGTGCACACTGGCACGAATGTGGTGCACAGTGGCACGAATGTGGTGCACACTGGCACGAATGTGGTGCACACTGGCATGAATGTGGTGCACACTGGCACGAATGTGGTGCACACTGGCACGAATGTGGTGCACACTGGCACGAATGTGGTGCACACTGGCACGAATGTGGTGCACAGTGGCACGAATGTGGTGCACACTGGCACGAATATGGTGCACACTGGCACGAATGTGGTGCACACTGGCACGAATGTGGTGCACACTGGCACGAATGTGGTGCACACTGGCACGAATGTGGTGCACACTGGCACGAATGTGGTGCACACTGGCACGAATGTGGTGCACAGTGGCACGAATGAGGTGCACATTAGCACGAATGTGGTGCACACTGGCACGAATGTGGTGCACAATGGCACCAATGTGGTGCACACTGCCACGAATGTGGTGCACAGTGGCACGAATGTGGTGCACAGTGGCACGAATGTGGTGCACAGTGGCACGAATGTGGTGCACACTGGCACGAATGTGGTGCACACTGGCACGAATGTGGTGCTCACTGGCACGAATGTGGTGCACACTGGCACGAATGTGGTGCACACTGGCACAAATGTGGTGCACACTGGCACGAATGTGGTGCACAGTGGCACGAATGTGGTGCACACTGGCACGAATGTGGTGCACACTGGCACGAATGTGGTGCACAGTGGCACGAATGTGGTGCACACTGGCACGAATGTGGTGCACAGTGGCACGAATGTGGTGCACACTGGCACGAATGTGGTGCACACTGGCACGAATGTGGTGCACACTGGCACGAATGTGGTGCACACTAGCACAAATGTGGTGCACACTGGCACGAATGTGGTGCACACTGGCACGAATGTGGTGCACAGTGGCACGAATGTGGTGCACAGTGGCACGAATGTGGTGCACACTGGCACGAATGTGGTGCACACTGGCACGAATGTGGTGCACAGTGGCACGAATGTGGTGCACACTGGCACGAATGTGGTGCACACTAGCACGAATGTGGTGCACACTGGCACGAATGTGGTGCACACTGGCACGAATGTGGTGCACACTGGCACGAATGTGGTGCACACTGGCACGAATGTGGTGCACAGTGGCACGAATGTGGTGCACACTGGCACGAATGTGGTGCACAGTGGCATGAATGTGGTGCACACTGGCACGAATGTGGTGCACACTGGCACGAATGTGGTGCACACTGGCACGAATGTGGTGCACACTGGCACGAATGTGGTGCACAGTGGCACGAATGTGGTGCACACTGGCACGAATGTGGTGCACACTGCCACGAATGTGGTGCACAGTGGCACGAATGTGGTGCACAGTGGCACGAATGTGGTGCACAGTGGCACGAATGTGGTGCACACTGGCACGAATGTGGTGCACACTGGCACGAATGTGGTGCTCACTGGCACGAATGTGGTGCACACTGGCACGAATGTGGTGCACACTGGCACAAATGTGGTGCACACTGGCACGAATGTGGTGCACAGTGGCACGAATGTGGTGCACACTGGCACGAATGTGGTGCACACTGGCACGAATGTGGTGCACAGTGGCACGAATGTGGTGCACACTGGCACGAATGTGGTGCACACTGGCACGAATGTGGTGCACACTGGCACGAATGTGGTGCACACTGGCACGAATGTGGTGCACACTGGCACGAATGTGGTGCACAGTGGCACGAATGTGGTGCACACTGGCACGAATGTGGTGCACACTAGCACGAATGTGGTGCACACTGGCACGAATGTGGTGCACACTGGCACGAATGTGGTGCACACTGGCACGAATGTGGTGCACACTGGCACGAATGTGGTGCACAGTGGCACGAATGTGGTGCACACTGGCACGAATGTGGTGCACAGTGGCATGAATGTGGTGCACACTGGCACGAATGTGGTGCACACTGGCACGAATGTGGTGCACACTGGCACGAATGTGGTGCACACTGGCACGAATGTGGTGCACACTGGCACGAATGTGGTGCACACTGGCACGAATGTGGTGCACACTGGCACGAATGTGGTGCACACTGGCACGAATGTGGTGCACACTGGCACGAATGTGGTGCACACTGGCACGAATGTGGTGCACACTGGCACGAATGTGGTGCACAGTGGCACGAATGAGGTGCACATTGGCACGAATGTGGTGCACACTGGCACGAATATGGTGCACAGTGGCACGAATGAGGTGCACATTGGCACGAATGTGGTGCACACTGGCACGAATGTGGTGCACACTGGCACGAATGTGGTGCGCACTGGCACGAATGTGGTGCACACTGGCACGAATGTGGTGCACACTGGCACGAATGTGGTGCACACTGGCACGAATGTGGTGCACACTGGCACGAATGTGGTGCACAGTGGCACCAATGTGGTGCACACTGGCACGAATGTGGTGCACACTGGCACGAATGTGGTGCACACTGGCACGAATGTGGTGCACACTGGCACGAATGTGGTGCACACTGGCACGAATAAGGTGCACAGTGGCACGAATGTGGTGCACACTGGCAAGAATAAGGTGCACAGTGGCACGAATGTGGTGCACACTGGCACGAATGTGGTGCACACTGGCACGAATGTGGTGCACACAGGCACGAATGTGGTGCACAGTGGCACGAATGTGGTGCACAGTGGCACGAATGTGGTGCACACTGGCACGAATGTGGTGCACACTGGCACGAATGTGGTGCACACTGGCACGAATGTGGTGCACACTGGCACGAATGTGGTGCACACTGGCACGAATGTGGTGCACACTAGCACAAATGTGGTGCACACTGGCACGAATGTGGTGCACACTGGCACGAATGTGGTGCACAGTGGCACGAATGTGGTGCACAGTGGCACGAATGTGGTGCACACTGGCACGAATGTGGTGCACACTGGCACGAATGTGGTGCACAGTGGCACGAATGTGGTGCACACTGGCACGAATGTGGTGCACACTAGCACGAATGTGGTGCACACTGGCACGAATGTGGTGCACACTGGCACGAATGTGGTGCACACTGGCACGAATGTGGTGCACACTGGCACGAATGTGGTGCACAGTGGCACGAATGTGGTGCACACTGGCACGAATGTGGTGCACAGTGGCATGAATGTGGTGCACACTGGCACGAATGTGGTGCACACTGGCACGAATGTGGTGCACACTGGCACGAATGTGGTGCACACTGGCACGAATGTGGTGCACAGTGGCACGAATGTGGTGCACACTGGCACGAATGTGGTGCACACTGCCACGAATGTGGTGCACAGTGGCACGAATGTGGTGCACAGTGGCACGAATGTGGTGCACAGTGGCACGAATGTGGTGCACACTGGCACGAATGTGGTGCACACTGGCACGAATGTGGTGCTCACTGGCACGAATGTGGTGCACACTGGCACGAATGTGGTGCACACTGGCACAAATGTGGTGCACACTGGCACGAATGTGGTGCACAGTGGCACGAATGTGGTGCACACTGGCACGAATGTGGTGCACACTGGCACGAATGTGGTGCACAGTGGCACGAATGTGGTGCACACTGGCACGAATGTGGTGCACACTGGCACGAATGTGGTGCACACTGGCACGAATGTGGTGCACACTGGCACGAATGTGGTGCACACTGGCACAAATGTGGTGCACAGTGGCACGAATGTGGTGCACACTGGCACGAATGTGGTGCACACTAGCACGAATGTGGTGCACACTGGCACGAATGTGGTGCACACTGGCACGAATGTGGTGCACACTGGCACGAATGTGGTGCACACTGGCACGAATGTGGTGCACAGTGGCACGAATGTGGTGCACACTGGCACGAATGTGGTGCACAGTGGCATGAATGTGGTGCACACTGGCACGAATGTGGTGCACACTGGCACGAATGTGGTGCACACTGGCACGAATGTGGTGCACACTGGCACGAATGTGGTGCACAGTGGCACGAATGTGGTGCACACTGGCACGAATGTGGTGCACACTGGCACGAATGTGGTGCACACTGGCACGAATGTGGTGCACACTGGCACGAATGTGGTGCACACTGGCACGAATGTGGTGCACACTGGCACGAATGTGGTGCACACTGGCACGAATGTGGTGCACAGTGGCACGAATGAGGTGCACATTGGCACGAATGTGGTGCACACTGGCACGAATATGGTGCACAGTGGCACGAATGAGGTGCACATTGGCACGAATGTGGTGCACACTGGCACGAATGTGGTGCACACTGGCACGAATGTGGTGCGCACTGGCACGAATGTGGTGCACACTGGCACGAATGTGGTGCACACTGGCACGAATGTGGTGCACACTGGCACGAATGTGGTGCACACTGGCACGAATGTGGTGCACAGTGGCACCAATGTGGTGCACACTGGCACGAATGTGGTGCACACTGGCACGAATGTGGTGCACACTGGCACGAATGTGGTGCACACTGGCACGAATGTGGTGCACACTGGCACGAATAAGGTGCACAGTGGCACGAATGTGGTGCACACTGGCAAGAATAAGGTGCACAGTGGCACGAATGTGGTGCACACTGGCACGAATGTGGTGCACACTGGCACGAATGTGGTGCACACAGGCACGAATGTGGTGCACAGTGGCACGAATGTGGTGCACAGTGGCACGAATGTGGTGCACACTGGCACGAATGTGGTGCACACTGGCACGAATGTGGTGCACACTGGCACGAATGTGGTGCACACTGGCACGAATGTGGTGCACACTGGCACGAATGTGGTGCACACTGGCACGAATGTGGTGCACACTGGCACGAATGTGGTGCACACTGGCACGAATGTGGTGCACACTGGCACGAATGTGGTGCACACTGGCACGAATGTGGTGCACACTGGCACGAATGTGGTGCACACTGGCACGAATGTGGTGCACACTGGCACGAATGTGGTGCACACTGGCACGAATGTGGTGCACACTGGCACGAATGTGGTGCACAGTGGCACGAATGTGGTGCACACTGGCACGAATGTGGTGCACACTAGCACGAATGTGGTGCACACTGGCACGAATGTGGTGCACACTGGCACGAATGTGGTGCACACTGGCACGAATGTGGTGCACACTGGCACGAATGTGGTGCACAGTGGCACGAAAGTGGTGCACACTGGCACGAATGTGGTGCACACTGGCACGAATGTGGTGCACACTGGCACGAATGTGGTGCACACTGGCACGAATGTGGTGCACACTGGCACGAATGTGGTGCACACTGGCACGAATGTGGTGCACAGTGGCACGAATGTGGTGCACACTGCCACGAATGTGGTGCACACTGGCACGAATGTGGTGCACACTGGCACGAATGTGGTGCACACTGGCACGAATGTGGTGCACACTGGCACGAATGTGGTGCACACTGGCACGAATGTGGTGCACACTGGCACGAATGTGGTGCACAGTGGCACGAATGAGGTGCACATTGGCACGAATGTGGTGCACACTTGCACGAATGTGGTGCACACTGGCACGAATGTGGTGCACACTGGCACGAATGTGGTGCACACTGGCACGAATGTGGTGCACACTAGCACGAATGTGGTGCACAGTGGCACAAATGTGGTGCACACTGGCACGAATGAGGTGCACACTGGCACGAATGTGGTGCACACTGGCACGAATGTGGTGCACACTGGCACGAATGTGGTGCACACTGGCACGAATGTGGTGCACACTGGCACGAATGTGGTGCACACTGGCACGAATGTGGTGCACACTGGCACGAATGTGGTGCACACTGGCACGAATGTGGTGCACAGTGGCACGAATGTGGTGCACACTGGCACGAATGTGGTGCACACTAGCATGAATGTGGTGCACACTGGCACGAATGTGGTGCACACTGGCACGAATGTGGTGCACACTGGCACGAATGTGGTGCACACTGGCACGAATGTGGTGCACAGTGGCACGAATGTGGTGCACACTGGCACAAATGTGGTGCACACTGGCATGAATGTGGTGCACACTGGCACGAATGTGGTGCACACTGGCACGAATGTGGTGCACACTGGCACGAATGTGGTGCACACTGGCACGAATGTGGTGCACAGTGGCACGAATGTGGTGCACACTGGCACGAATATGGTGCACACTGGCACGAATGTGGTGCACACTGGCACGAATGTGGTGCACACTGGCACGAATGTGGTGCACACTGGCACGAATGTGGTGCACACTGGCACGAATGTGGTGCACACTGGCACGAATGTGGTGCACAGTGGCACGAATGAGGTGCACATTGGCACGAATGTGGTGCACACTAGCACGAATGTGGTGCACACTGGCACCAATGTGGTGCACACTGCCACGAATGTGGTGCACAGTGGCACGAATGTGGTGCACAGTGGCACGAATGTGGTGCACAGTGGCACGAATGTGGTGCACACTGGCACGAATGTGGTGCACACTGGCACGAATGTGGTGCTCACTGGCACGAATGTGGTGCACACTGGCACGAATGTGGTGCACACTGGCACAAATGTGGTGCACACTGGCACGAATGTGGTGCACAGTGGCACGAATGTGGTGCACACTGGCACGAATGTGGTGCACACTGGCACGAATGTGGTGCACAGTGGCACGAATGTGGTGCACACTGGCACGAATGTGGTGCACACTGGCACGAATGTGGTGCACACTGGCACGAATGTGGTGCACACTGGCACGAATGTGGTGCACACTGGCACGAATGTGGTGCACACTAGCACGAATGTGGTGCACACTGGCACGAATGTGGTGCACACTGGCACGAATGTGGTGCACAGTGGCACGAATGTGGTGCACAGTGGCACGAATGTGGTGCACACTGGCACGAATGTGGTGCACACTGGCACGAATGTGGTGCACAGTGGCACGAATGTGGTGCACAGTGGCACGAATGTGGTGCACACTGGCACGAATGTGGTGCACACTGGCACGAATGTGGTGCACACTGGCACGAATGTGGTGCACACTGGCACGAATGTGGTGCACACTGGCACGAATGTGGTGCACACTGGCACGAATGTGGTGCACACTGGCACGAATGTGGTGCACACTGGCACGAATGTGGTGCACACTGGCACGAATGTGGTGCACACTGGCACGAATGTGGTGCACACTGGCACGAATGTGGTGCACACTGGCACGAATGTGGTGCACACTGGCACGAATGTGGTGCACACTGGCACGAATGTGGTGCACACTGGCACGAATATGGTGCACAATGGCACGAATGTGGTGCACACTGGCACGAATGTGGTGCACACTGGCACGAATGTGGTGCACAGTGGCACGAATGTGGTGCACACTGGCACGAATGTGGTGCACACTGGCACGAATGTGGTGCACACTGGCACGAATGTGGTGCACACTGGCACGAATGTGGTGCACACTGGCACGAATGTGGTGCACACTGGCACGAATGTGGTGCACACTGGCACGAATGTGGTGCACAGTGGCACGAATGAGGTGCACATTGGCACGAATGTGGTGCACACTGGCACGAATGTGGTGCACAGTGGCACGAATGAGGTGCACATTGGCACGAATGTGGTGCACACTGGCACGAATATGGTGCACAGTGGCACGAATATGGTGCACACTGGCACGAATGTGGTGCACACTGGCACGAATGTGGTGCACACTGGCACGAATGTGGTGCACACTGGCACGAATGTGGTGCACAGTGGCACGAATGTGGTGCACACTGGCACGAATGTGGTGCACACTAGCACGAATGTGGTGCACACTGGCACGAATGTGGTGCACACTGGCACGAATGTGGTGCACACTGGCACGAATGTGGTGCACACTGGCACGAATGTGGTGCACAGTGGCACGAATGTGGTGCACACTGGCACGAATGTGGTGCACAGTGGCATGAATGTGGTGCACACTGGCACGAATGTGGTGCACACTGGCACGAATGTGGTGCACACTGGCACGAATGTGGTGCACACTGGCACGAATGTGGTGCACAGTGGCACGAATGTGGTGCACACTGGCACGAATGTGGTGCACACTGGCACGAATGTGGTGCACACTGGCACGAATGTGGTGCACACTGGCACGAATGTGGTGCACACTGGCACGAATGTGGTGCACACTGGCACGAATGTGGTGCACACTGGCACGAATGTGGTGCACACTGGCACAAATGTGGTGCACACTGGCACGAATGTGGTGCACAGTGGCATGAATGTGGTGCACACTGGCACGAATGTGGTGCACACTGGCACGAATGTGGTGCACAGTGGCACGAATGTGGTGCACACTGGCACGAATGTGGTGCACACTGGCACGAATGTGGTGCACACTGGCACGAATGTGGTGCACACTGGCACGAATGTGGTGCACACTGGCACGAATGTGGTGCACACTAGCACGAATGTGGTGCACACTGGCACGAATGTGGTGCACACTGGCACGAATGTGGTGCACAGTGGCACGAATGTGGTGCACAGTGGCACAAATGTGGTGCACACTGGCACGAATGTGGTGCACACTGGCACGAATGTGGTGCACAGTGGCACGAATGTGGTGCACACTGGCACGAATGTGGTGCACACTAGCACGAATGTGGTGCACACTGGCACGAATGTGGTGCACACTGGCACGAATGTGGTGCACACTGGCACGAATGTGGTGCACACTGGCACAAATGTGGTGCACAGTGGCACGAATGTGGTGCACACTGGCACGAATGTGGTGCACAGTGGCATGAATGTGGTGCACACTGGCACGAATGTGGTGCACACTGGCACGAATGTGGTGCACACTGGCACGAATGTGGTGCACACTGGCACGAATGTGGTGCACAGTGGCACGAATGTGGTGCACACTGGCACGAATGTGGTGCACACTGCCACGAATGTGGTGCACAGTGGCACGAATGTGGTGCACAGTGGCACGAATGTGGTGCACAGTGGCACGAATGTGGTGCACACTGGCACGAATGTGGTGCACACTGGCACGAATGTGGTGCTCACTGGCACGAATGTGGTGCACACTGGCACGAATGTGGTGCACACTGGCACAAATGTGGTGCACACTGGCACGAATGTGGTGCACAGTGGCACGAATGTGGTGCACACTGGCACGAATGTGGTGCACACTGGCACGAATGTGGTGCACAGTGGCACGAATGTGGTGCACACTGGCACGAATGTGGTGCACACTGGCACGAATGTGGTGCACACTGGCACGAATGTGGTGCACACTGGCACGAATGTGGTGCACACTGGCACGAATGTGGTGCACAGTGGCACGAATGTGGTGCACACTGGCACGAATGTGGTGCACACTAGCACGAATGTGGTGCACACTGGCACGAATGTGGTGCACACTGGCACGAATGTGGTGCACACTGGCACGAATGTGGTGCACACTGGCACGAATGTGGTGCACAGTGGCACGAATGTGGTGCACACTGGCACGAATGTGGTGCACAGTGGCATGAATGTGGTGCACACTGGCACGAATGTGGTGCACACTGGCACGAATGTGGTGCACACTGGCACGAATGTGGTGCACACTGGCACGAATGTGGTGCACAGTGGCACGAATGTGGTGCACAGTGGCACGAATGTGGTGCACACTGGCACGAATGTGGTGCACACTGGCACGAATGTGGTGCACACTGGCACGAATGTGGTGCACACTGGCACGAATGTGGTGCACACTGGCACGAATGTGGTGCACACTGGCACGAATGTGGTGCACACTGGCACGAATGTGGTGCACAGTGGCACGAATGAGGTGCACATTGGCACGAATGTGGTGCACACTGGCACGAATATGGTGCACAGTGGCACGAATGAGGTGCACATTGGCACGAATGTGGTGCACACTGGCACGAATGTGGTGCACACTGGCACGAATGTGGTGCGCACTGGCACGAATGTGGTGCACACTGGCACGAATGTGGTGCACACTGGCACGAATGTGGTGCACACTGGCACGAATGTGGTGCACACTGGCACGAATGTGGTGCACAGTGGCACCAATGTGGTGCACACTGGCACGAATGTGGTGCACACTGGCACGAATGTGGTGCACACTGGCAAGAATGTGGTGCACACTGGCACGAATGTGGTGCACACTGGCACGAATGTGGTGCACACTGGCACGAATGTGGTGCACACTGGCACGAATAAGGTGCACAGTGGCACGAATGTGGTGCACACTGGCACGAATGTGGTGCACACTGGCACGAATGTGGTGCACACAGGCACGAATGTGGTGCACAGTGGCACGAATGAGGTGCACAGTGGCACGAATGTGGTGCACACTGGCACGAATGTGGTCCACACTGGCACGAATGTGGTGCACACTGGCACGAATGTGGTGCACACTGGCACGAATGTGGTGCACACTGGCACGAATGTGGTGCACACTGGCACGAATGTGGTGCACACTGGCACGAATGTGGTGCACACTGGCACGAATGTGGTGCACACTGGCACGAATGTGGTGCACACTGGCACGAATGTGGTGCACACTGGCACGAATGTGGTGCACACTGGCACGAATGTGGTGCACACTGGCACGAATGTGGTGCACACTGGCACGAATGTGGTGCACACTGGCACGAATGTGGTGCACACTGGCACGAATGTGGTGCACACTGGCACGAATGTGGTGCACACTGGCACGAATGTGGTGCACACTGGCACGAATGTGGTGCACACTGGCACGAATGTGGTGCACACTGGCACGAATGTGGTGCACACTGGCACGAATGTGGTGCACACTGGCACGAATGTGGTGCACACTTGCACGAGTGTGGTGCACACTGGCACGAATGTGGTGCACAGTGGAACGAATGTGGTGCACACTGGCACGAATGTGGTGCACACTGGCACGAATGTGGTGCACAGTGGCATGAATGTGGTGCACACTGGCACGAATGTGGTGCACACTGGCACGAATGTGGTGCACACTGGCACGAATGTGGTGCACACTGGCACGAATAAGGTGCACAGTGGCACGAATGTGGTGCACACTGGCAAGAATGTGGTGCACACTGCCATGAATGTGGTGCACAGTGGCACGAATGTGGTGCACACTGGCACGAATGTGGTGCACACTGGCACGAATGTGGTGCACACTGCCACGAATGTGGTGCACACTGGCACAAATGTGGTGCACACTGGCACGAATGTGGTGCACACTGGCACGAATGTGGTGCACACTGGCACGAATGTGGTGCACGCTGGCACGAATGTGGTGCACACTGGCACGAATGTGGTGCACACTGGGACGAATGTGGTGCACACTGGCACGAATGTGGTGCACAGTGGCACGAATGTGGTGCACACTGGCACGAATGTGGTGCACACTGGCACGAATGTGGTGCACACTGGCACGAATGTGGTGCACAGTGGCACGAATGTGGTGCACACTGGCACGAATGTGGTGCACACTGGCACGAATGTGGTGCACACTGGCACGAATGTGGTGCACACTGGCACGAATGTGGTGCACACTGGCACGAATGTGGTGCACAGTGGCACGAATGTGGTGCACACTGGCACGAATGTGGTGCACACTAGCACGAATGTGGTGCACACTGGCACGAATGTGGTGCACACTGGCACGAATGTGGTGCACACTGGCACGAATGTGGTGCACACTGGCACGAATGTGGTGCACAGTGGCACGAATGTGGTGCACACTGGCACGAATGTGGTGCACAGTGGCATGAATGTGGTGCACACTGGCACGAATGTGGTGCACACTGGCACGAATGTGGTGCACACTGGCACGAATGTGGTGCACACTGGCACGAATGTGGTGCACAGTGGCACGAATGTGGTGCACACTGGCACGAATGTGGTGCACACTGGCACGAATGTGGTGCACACTGGCACGAATGTGGTGCACACTGGCACGAATGTGGTGCACACTGGCACGAATGTGGTGCACACTGGCACGAATGTGGTGCACACTGGCACGAATGTGGTGCACAGTGGCACGAATGAGGTGCACATTGGCACGAATGTGGTGCACACTGGCACGAATATGGTGCACAGTGGCACGAATGAGGTGCACATTGGCACGAATGTGGTGCACACTGGCACGAATGTGGTGCACACTGGCACGAATGTGGTGCGCACTGGCACGAATGTGGTGCACACTGGCACGAATGTGGTGCACACTGGCACGAATGTGGTGCACACTGGCACGAATGTGGTGCACACTGGCACGAATGTGGTGCACAGTGGCACCAATGTGGTGCACACTGGCACGAATGTGGTGCACACTGGCACGAATGTGGTGCACACTGGCAAGAATGTGGTGCACACTGGCACGAATGTGGTGCACACTGGCACGAATGTGGTGCACACTGGCACGAATGTGGTGCACACTGGCACGAATAAGGTGCACAGTGGCACGAATGTGGTGCACACTGGCACGAATGTGGTGCACACTGGCACGAATGTGGTGCACACAGGCACGAATGTGGTGCACAGTGGCACGAATGTGGTGCACAGTGGCACGAATGTGGTGCACACTGGCACGAATGTGGTGCACACTGGCACGAATGTGGTGCACACTGGCACGAATGTGGTGCACACTGGCACGAATGTGGTGCACACTGGCACGAATGTGGTGCACACTGGCACGAATGTGGTGCACACTGGCACGAATGTGGTGCACACTGGCACGAATGTGGTGCACACTGGCACGAATGTGGTGCACACTGGCACGAATGTGGTGCACACTGGCACGAATGTGGTGCACACTGGCACGAATGTGGTGCACACTGGCACGAATGTGGTGCACACTGGCACGAATGTGGTGCACACTGGCACGAATGTGGTGCACACTGGCACGAATGTGGTGCACACTGGCACGAATGTGGTGCACACTGGCACGAATGTGGTGCACACTGGCACGAATGTGGTGCACACTGGCACGAATGTGGTGCACACTGGCACGAATGTGGTGCACACTGGCACGAATGTGGTGCACACTGGCACGAATGTGGTGCACACTGGCACGAATGTGGTGCACACTGGCACGAATGTGGTGCACACTTGCACGAGTGTGGTGCACACTGGCACGAATGTGGTGCACAGTGGAACGAATGTGGTGCACACTGGCACGAATGTGGTGCACACTGGCACGAATGTGGTGCACAGTGGCATGAATGTGGTGCACACTGGCACGAATGTGGTGCACACTGGCACGAATGTGGTGCACACTGGCACGAATGTGGTGCACACTGGCACGAATAAGGTGCACAGTGGCACGAATGTGGTGCACACTGGCAAGAATGTGGTGCACACTGCCATGAATGTGGTGCACAGTGGCACGAATGTGGTGCACACTGGCACGAATGTGGTGCACACTGGCACGAATGTGGTGCACACTGCCACGAATGTGGTGCACACTGGCACAAATGTGGTGCACACTGGCACGAATGTGGTGCACACTGGCACGAATGTGGTGCACACTGGCACGAATGTGGTGCACGCTGGCACGAATGTGGTGCACACTGGCACGAATGTGGTGCACACTGGGACGAATGTGGTGCACACTGGCACGAATGTGGTGCACAGTGGCACGAATGTGGTGCACACTGGCACGAATGTGGTGCACACTGGCACGAATGTGGTGCACACTGGCACGAATGTGGTGCACAGTGGCACGAATGTGGTGCACACTGGCACGAATGTGGTGCACACTGGCACGAATGTGGTGCACACTGGCACGAATGTGGTGCACAGTGGCACGAATGTGGTGCACACTGGCACGAATGTGGTGCGCACTGGCACGAATGTGGTGCACACTGGCACGAATGTGGTGCACACTGGCACGAATGTGGTGCACACTGGCACGAATGTGGTGCACACTGGCACGAATGTGGTGCACAGTGGCACGAATGTGGTGCACACTGGCACGAATGTGGTGCACACTGGCACGAATGTGGTGCACAGTGGCATGAATGTGGTGCACACTGGCACGAATGTGGTGCACACTGGCACGAATGTGGTGCACACTGGCACGAATGTGGTGCACACTGGCACGAATAAGGTGCACAGTGGCACGAATGTGGTGCACACTGGCAAGAATGTGGTGCACACTGCCACGAATGTGGTGCACAGTGGCACGAATGTGGTGCACACTGGCACGAATGTGGTGCACACTGGCACGAATGTGGTGCACACTGCCACGAATGTGGTGCACACTGGCACGAATGTGGTGCACACTGGCACGAATGTGGTGCACACTGGCACGAATGTGGTGCACACTGGCACGAATGTGGTGCACGCTGGCACGAATGTGGTGCACACTGGCACGAATGTGGTGCACACTGGCACGAATGTGGTGCACACTGGCAGGAATGTGGTGCACACTGGCACGAATAAGGTGCACAGTGGCACGAATGTGGTGCACACTGGCAAGAATGTGGTGCACACTGCCACGAATGTGGTGCACAGTGGCACGAATGTGGTGCACACTGGCACGAATGTGGTGCACACTGGCACGAATGTGGTGCACACTGGCACGAATGTGGTGCACACTGGCACGAATGTGGTGCACACTGGCACGAATGTGGTGCGCACTGGCACGAATGTGGTGCACACTGGCACGAATGTGGTGCACAGTGGCACGAATGTGGTGCACAGTGGCACGAATGTGGTGCACACTGGCACGAATGTGGTGCACACTGGCACGAATGTGGTGCACACTGGCACGAATGTGGTGCACACTGGCACGAATGTGGTGCACACTGGCACGAATGTGGTGCACACTGGCACGAATGTGGTGCACACTGGCACGAATGTGGTGCGCACTGGCACGAATGTGGTGCACACTGGCACGAATGTGGTGCACAGTGGCACGAATGTGGTGCACACTGGCACGAATGTGGTGCACACTGGCACGAATGTGGTGCACACTGGCACGAATGTGGTGCACACTGGCACGAATGTGGTGCACACTGGCACGAATGTGGTGCACACTGGCACGAATGTGGTGCACACTGGCACGAATGTGGTGCACACTGGCACGAATGTGGTGCACAGTGGCACGAATGTGGTGCACACTGGCACGATTCCCGTGAATGCATGGGTGGGCGCCCGCTTGCCACTGTGTGTCACAGTGGATGGCAGCACAACAGGTCGCCAGCAGCACTCACTCAGCAGGTCGCCAGCAGCACTCACTCAGCAGGTCGCGTGCCGCCGCAGAGAGGCCGACGTGCACCGCAGCGTCCACAGGCCGCCCATCCGCCCCCTCGCCCGCTGCTGCACCCGCAGCAGCAGCAGCAGCAGCAGCGTCGCCACGCGGGTCAGGCATGGCGAGTAGCGCAGCGGGGCAGGTGTGCGCCAGCAGGCGCATGCTGGCAGGCGTCCTGCAGAGGGGGGGAGCAGATGGAGGGGCGAGCGGAGGCATGAGGGTTGGCCGTGGGGAGGCGTCAGGGAAGGAAGTGTTTCAATGCCCTTATGAACAACCACTGGCTCTCCACCTCAGAGGTTATTTAACTTGGAAGGTTGACCCAGTTCACGGAGGAAGGTTGACCCAGTTCACGGAGGAAGGTTGACCCAATTCACGGAGGAAGGTTGACCCAGTTCACGAGGTATGGCGGGTCAACCAACCCATAATCTCAACCGACTCGTCATATGGGTCAGGTATGGTGAAAGGCGAGGCGCACTGGGCCTAGAGGCGAGCACCTGTGTTGCTGACCGTAGGTTGCTAAATCACTCTGTCGAGTACCTCTTGAGGTTTCTCGTTCAGTCTGACCCTAACTTCACCGTGACTGTTGCTTTCCCATTGCTCCTAAATCTCCGACACCTAGCTGCACTTGCTTTTCGATACGATGCTCCCAAGACACCGCACAGCCTCAAACACACGCTTAAGCTAAACAAACTAGAAATTAACTCTTAAAATAATACACATTAGTGATTGGCCTGTCGAGACGAACTGAACCAGAGGTTCGAGAACTAAGGGTCGAATATAGAACCTCGGCCACCACGTTTTGGTTCGACCAAACCCGAGCAGGTTTGATACTGCGAGATTATCCGTTTGACCATTTTTGGCCTGAACAAGTTCGAGTTGGATACTTTCTCAAGTGTACTCATGTGTGATTGACACAGTTGGCATGGTGCCCACCTGGTGTCGTTGAAAAGGGTCTCGAGGTTGACAATGTCCATCACTTGCAACCCCTCCGCCTCCGCCAACCTGCCGTGCCGTGAGAGGGAGAGACGATTGGGGCATGTGAGAAGACATGGGCATGAGGAAACAGAGGGGGGAAACACAGAGCAAAAAGGGGCATGGGACTCCCTCGAGCCCATCAGCTGCACTGCACACCAGCCCCGAATGCCGGAGACCAACTCATCACAGGTTGGTTGGCACAGGGTGCGGAGAGTCACTCTACACCAGTGGGAGCTAAATCACGGGGAAGGCACGGGTGGTACGAGTGATCGCAGAGTTCGCTTGTAGTTTCTCTACTTGCACATTCATAGAGCAAATTAGCAAGAGTTTCACTAAGAACGTTGTAGAATAATGATACAATGGTAATGGCGAAGGTTGACTACATCACAGGCCTAGCAGCCTAGCAAGCAGGCAGGTCAACCTCCAGCGCAGCACGAGGGCTGCTTGCCAACACCGCAGGTTGGCGGCCTGCCAACGTAGCAAGAAGAGGACTTGCCACCGCTGCAGAAAGACGTCCTGCCAGCTTTGCACCAGAACGGCGGCTTGCCAACGCTGCAGCAAGGCGGCTTGCCACCATTGCAACTACATGTGTTTGTGAATGCGCAGGTGCACACTTGCCGAGTAGGTGCAGGAAGACGGTTGTACCATCAAGCACATTGTACAGGTGCCCAGATCGATCACATGTCGACGGTTGCATCGGCCTCGTCAACCTCGTGCTACACTACCGAGACACAGATCGACTACGTCAAAAACACCAGGACGACGTTCGCGCAACCCCGCAGAACTTTGTCAACCAGCTTACTCGGTCAGAAGATACCGCTAAGCCAACGTCGACTTCGGTGCTTGTCGGTCGACCTCATGTCGATGACCACCTTTGTCGACCGCCGAGGCTTGACGCCATCCGCTGACTTCTCTTCGTTCACCAGCGTCTACCCGACTTTGCTAAAGTCGGCTTTGTCAAAGTCGGCTCCGCCATAACCAGCTTCACTCTAGTCGGCAGCTTCTCCGACATCGACTCCGCCAAAGTCGGCTGAGCCCGAAGTCGACCTCGCCACGCCGACTTCACCAGGTCGGCTTCACCAGGTCGGCTTCACCAAAGTCGCCAGGTCGGCTTCACCAAAGTCGCCAGGTCGGCTTCACCAAAGTCGCCAGGTCGGCTTCACCAAAGTCGGCTTACCGTCCAAGTCGGCCAACCAAGCCGACTTGCTCCTCCAAATCGACGTCGACCACGAAGCGTAGCCGGCTGCACACCTTGCATGCCAGACAACGAAGTCGGCTTCGCCCAAGCGAGGGCGGGGCCTTTTCTCGTCAATAATGGGAAGGGGCGAGATACAGCAAGCGTGAGTAGGAACGAGGAGCCAAGCTAGGAAAAAGGAGGAAATGCACCTAATGAGAGTGGGGAAGTGGACGAGGAGCGACTTGATGGGCAGGCTGTTGGCATCGGCACACTTGAGGGAGAAGCGCAAATCAAACACCGCCCTGGTGGACCGGCAGGCAGGGGGCAGCACAGAGGGGCAGGAACATGTAATGGAAGAGGAGGGACGGATTAGCGGATGGAAATAATGGTGAGATGACTGTGAGGCGGGGAATGGAAGGACAAGTCGGGAGAAAACATGTAGGAAGGTAGAAGCCAAGTATGAAGGAAATAGTCACAACAAGAAAGGGGAATAAGAAGTCACTGCCTTCTCACTTGCTGTCATCAAACGGCACTGCCTTCTCACTTGCTGTCATCAAACGGCACTGCCTTCTCACTTGCTGTCATCAAACGGCACTGCCTTCTCACTTGCTGTCATCAAACAGCACTGCCTTCTCACTTGCTGTCATCAAACGGCACTGCCTTCTCACTTGCTGTCATCAAACGGCACTGCCTTCTCACTTGCTGTCATCAAACGGCACTGCCTTCTCGAACACGATAGCGTAGAGCGACGAGCGAATCACCGCCCGCGTGGGCACCATGCCGCCCGGCCCGGCAGCAGCCTTGGCGGCATCAATGGCCCGCTGCTGCTTGTACCTGGCGGGGCGGACAAGTGGGGATGTGGCGGGGAATGGATGAGTAGAAGCAAAAGATCTGTGCTCCCTACACCACGCGGTGTTGCTTCCTACATCACACAGTGTTGCTCCCTACACCACGCGGTGTTGCTTCCTACACCACACGGTGGTGCTTTCTACACCACACAGTCTTGCTTTCTACACCACACGGTGGTGCTTTCTACACCACACGGTGGTGCTTTTTACACCACACGGTGTTGTTCCCTACTGCTTCCTACTCCACACGGTGTTGCTCCCCACACCAGACCGTGTTGCACCCCACATCCCTGGTCAGCGTGACAAGTGCGCAGCAGCAGAAAGAGGGAAGCAGCCCTGGGTGCTGCGGCGGCCCTGGGCAAGGAGCCTGTTGAAACTAAGTTTTCCTCCGCGCACCATTGACCACCAGCATTCAAAACTTGCCACTTAGGTTTGACAACGCGGTTCTCCGGTGTAAACACATGCTCTGGCCGGCCGAGCCTGCCCTCAGCCGTGGTCAGACCAGGTGGAGCCACCGTTGGCCCCTCACATTGGCCCGTCACATTGGCCCGTCACATTGGCCCGTCACATTGGCCCGTCACATTGGCCCGTCACATTGGCCCGTCACATTGGCCCGTCACATTGGCCCGTCACATTGGCCCGTCACATTGGTCCGTCACATTGGCCCGTCCCCTACACATTGGCCCGTCACATTGGCCCGTCACATTGGCCCGTCACATGGCCCGTCACATTGGCCCGTCACATTGGCCCGTCAACATTGGTCCGTCATATTGGCCCGTCACACTGGTCCGTCACATTGGCCCGTCACATTGGTCCGTCACATTGGCCCGTCACATTGGCCCGTCACATGGCCCGTCACATTGGCCCGTCACATTGGCCCGTCACATTGGCCCGTCACATTGGCCCGTCACATTCGCCCGTCACATTGGCCCGTCACATTGGCCCGTCACATTGGCCCGTCACATTGGCCCGTCACATTGGCCCGTCACATTGGCCCGTCACATTGGCCCGTCACATTGGCCCGTCACATTGGCCCGTCACAGTGGCCCGTCACATTGGCCCGTCACATTGGCCCGTCACATTGGCCTGTCACATTGGCCCGTCACATTGGCCCGTCACATTGGCCCGTCACATTGGCCCGTCACATTGGCCCGTCACATTGGCCCGTCACATTGGCCCGTCACATTGGCCCGTCACATTGGCCCGTCACATTGGCCCGTCACATTGGCCCGTCACATTGGCCCGTCACATTGGCCCGTCACATTGGCCCGTCACATTGGCCCGTCACATTGGCCCGTCACATTGGCCCGTCACATTGGCCCGTCACATTGGCCCGTCACATTGGCCCGTCACATTGGCCCGTCACATTGGCCCGTCAACATTGGTCCGTGACATCGGCCCGTCACATTGGCCCGTTGCATTGGCCCGTCACATTGGTCCGTCACATTGGTCCGTCACATTGGCCCGCCACATTGGTCCGTCACATTGGCCCGTCACATTGGCCCGTCAAATGGCCCGTCACATTGGCCCGTCACATTGGCCCGTCACATTGGCCCGTCACATTGGCCCGTCACATGAGCCCGTCACATTGGCCCGTCACATTGGCCCGTCACATTGGCCCGTCACATTGGCCCGTCACATTGGCCCGTCACATTGGCCCGTCACATTGGCCCGTCACATTGGCCCATCACATTGGCCCGTCACATTGGCCCGTCACATTGGCCCGTCACATTGGCCCGTCACATTGGCCCGTCACATTGGCCTGTCACATTGGCCCGTCACATTGGCCCGTCACATTGGCCCGTCACATTGGCCCGTCAACATTGGTCCGTCACATTCCCGTCACATTGGCCCGTCACATTGGCCCGTCACATTGGCTCGTCACATTGGCCCGTCAACATTGGTCCGTGACATCGGCCCGTCACATTGGCCCGTCGCATTGGCCCGTCACATTGGCCCGTCACATTGGCCCGTCACATTGGCCCGTCACATTGGCCCGTCACATTGGCCCGTCACATTGGCCCGTCACATTGGCCCGTCACATTGGTCCGTCACATTGGCCCGCCACATTGGCCCGTCGCATTGGCCCGCCACATTGGCCTGTCACATTGGCCCGTCACATTGGCCCGTCACATTGGCCCGTCACATTGGCCCGTCACATTGGCCCGTCACATTGGCCCGTCAACATTGGAACGTCACATTGGCCCGTCAACATTGGAACCTCACATTGGCCCGTCACATTGGTCCATCACATTGGCCTGTCAACATTGGTCCGTCACATTGGCCCGTCACATTGGTCCGTCACATTGGCCCGTCACATTGGTCCGTCACATTGGCCCGTCACATTGGCCCGTCACATCGGCCCGTCACATTGGCCCGTCACATTGGCCCGTCACATTGGCCCGTCACATTGGCCCGTCACATTGGCCCGTCACATTGGCCCGTCACATTGGCCTGTCACATTGGCCTGTCACATTGGCCCGTCACATTGGCCCGTCACATTGGCCCGTCACATTGGCCCGTCAACATTGGTCCGTCACATCGGCCCGTCACATTGGCCCGTCACATTGGCCCGTCACATTGGCCCGTCACATTGGCCCGTCAACATTGGTCCGTGACATCGGCCCGTCACATTGGCCCGTCGCATTGGCCCGTCACATTGGCCCGTCACATTGGCCCGTCACATTGGCCCGCCACATTGGCCCGTCGCATTGGCCCGCCACATTGGCCTGTCACATTGGCCTGTCACATTGGCCCGTCACATTGGCCCGTCACATTGGCCCGTCACATTGGCCCGTCACATTGGCCCGTCAACATTGGAACGTCACATTGGCCCGTCAACATTGGAACCTCACATTGGCCCGTCACATTGGTCCATCACATTGGCCTGTCAACATTGGTCCGTCACATTGGCCCGTCACATTGGTCCGTCACATTGGCCCGTCACATTGGTCCGTCACATTGGCCCGTCACATTGGCCCATCACATCGGCCCGTCACATTGGCCCGTCACATTGGCCCGTCACATTGGCCCGTCACATTGGCCCGTCACATTGGCCCGTCACATTGGCCCGTCACATTGGCCCGTCACATTGGCCCGTCACATGGCCCGTCACATTGGCCCGTCACATTGGCCCGTCACATTCGCCCGTCACATTGGCCCGTCACATTCGCCCGTCACATTGGCCCATCACATTGGCCCGTCACATTGGCCCGTCACATTGGCCCGTCACATTGGCCCGTCACATTGGCCCGTCACATTGGCCCGTCACATTGGCCCGTCACATTGGCCCGTCACATTGGCCCGTCACATTGGCCCGTCACATTGGCCCGTCACATTGGCCCGTCACATTGGCCCGTCACATCGGCCCGTCACATTGGCCCGTCACATTGGCCCGTCACATCGGCCCGTCACATCGGCCCGTCACATCGGCCCGTCACATTGGCCCGTCACATTGGCCCGTCACATTGGCCCGTCACATTGGCCCGTCAACATTGGCCCGTCACATTGGCCCGTCACATTGGCCCGTCAACATTGGCCCGCCACATTGGCCCGTCACATTGGCCCGTCACATCGGCCCGTCACATCGGCCCGTCACATCGGCCCGTCGCATTGGCCCGTCACATTGGCCCGTCACATTGGCCCGTCACATTGGCCCGTCAACATTGGCCCGTCACATTGGCCCGTCACATTGGCCCGTCAACATTGGCCCGCCACATTGGCCCGTCGCATTGGCCCGTCACATCGGCCCGTCACATTGGCCCGTCACATTGGCCCGTCGCATTGGCCCGTCACATTGGCCCGTCAACATTGGCCCGTCACATTGGTCTGCAGCGTAGGGCCGGCACCCGCGCTGGGCCGGACTGGCCCGGCCGGCCAGCCCACCCTGGCCCGACCCAGACTAGCACGGTCTGGTCCGTGCTCGTTCAATTTCTACCCTATCAGGTTGAACCAGGGTGCGGGTCTGACCAGTCGCTATGCGTATCAGAAGGTGGAGTAGCGGCGCAACCGCAGTGGGCGGAGGAGCAACAAAGGGAAGACATGATGGTTGCTGAACACGATAAAAGTGTAAAGTTCTAAACAAGCAGCAGACCAGAGCGTGGAGGAGTCGGGCAGACCAGAGCGTGGAGGAGTCGGGCATACCAGAGCGTGGAGTAGTCGGGCTTACCAGAGCGTGGAGGAGTCGGGCATACCAGAGCGTGGAGGAGTCGGGCATACCAGAGCGTGGAGGAGTCGGGCAGACCAGAGCGTGGAGGAGTCGGGCATACCAGAGCGTGGAGGAGTCGGGCATACCAGAGCGTGGAGGAGTCGGGCATACCAGAGCGTGGAGGAGTCGGGCATACCAGAGCGTGGAGGAGTCGGGCATACCAGAGCGTGGAGGAGTCGGGCATACCAGAGCGTGGAGGAGTCGGGCATACCAGAGCGTGGAGGAGTCGGGCATACCAGAGCGTGGAGGAGTCGGGCATACCAGAGCGTGGAGGAGTCGGGCATACCAGAGTGTGGAGGAGTCGGGCATACCAGAGCGTGGAGGAGTCGGGCATACCAGAGCGTGGAGGAGTCGGGCATACCAGAGCGTGGAGGAGTCGGGCATACCAGAGCGTGGAGGAGTCGGGCATACCAGAGCGTGGAGGAGTCGGGCATACCAGAGCGTGGAGGAGTCGGGCATACCAGAGCGTGGAGGAGTCGGGCATACCAGAGCGTGGAGGAGTCGGGCATACCAGAGCGTGGAGGAGTCGGGCATACCAGAGCGTGGAGGAGTCGGGCAGCAGGCCGAAGAAGATCCCTCCGGGGGCCAGCAGTGTTGCCACGTTCGCCAGGAACTGTGAAGCCGTGCGCTGCGAGGCAAACCAGTCCTGCACGCCCACGCATTGGTTGGGGGGGGGTGAGGGGTGGAGGGGGAGGGGTTATGTGGGGTTAAGGGAGCAGGTGGGTGGGTAAGAGTTGGGGTGGTTACATTCGAGAGCACAAGGCGGTGATTCGGAACAGGGAAAGCTGGCAGTGAAAAGAGAATACAAACAGCATAGCAAGTGGCATGAGGGTTGAAACATGCACCTGCACGCGAGGGCTGCAGCAGACAACGTTGAAGGGCGTGAGGCGCCCCACCGCGGGCAGCGAGAGCTGCGCCTGCAGGAAGACGGCGGTTGGGCACAATGTCAGAACCCAGCTCATTTGTTTGGCTCTTACACTTGAAATGGTTCTGGTCTCGGACCAGAGAGCAGCCACTCCGATGGTTCACCAACGAGCCAAAGCGGGCCATGCGTGATTTCGATACAACAAACAAGGTTTTTTCCCCAGAAAAACAGATGACAGCTAGGTTGTTTTTTTTCTGAATTGACATGAGGTTCTCTTGAATGGGGAAACGAGGAGGAACCGGATAACTCAGCTGCAACTCTCTAATACGCATACGAGGGAAGGGTCGGCATAGTGGAAGGCGGCGCCATAGGGGGCGCCGTGCGCGCGCCACTCCTCCGCCGCCTCCTCCAGCGATGATGGCGTCACGTCTGCCCCGCCCCCCTCCCACCCGTGCCATGGGAGCCAGGGCGGAGCGCATGGGGGGACGGAGGGGGGAAGGAGGAGGAAGTGGGTTGGAAGGAAGGGGGAGTGGTGCGCCAGGAAAAGCGAAGTAAAGGCAGGTCGGAGGGGAGATAAAGAGGAGGGGCTCACACGGAGCAAGTGGAGGATTACTTGACGCCCACGTGGCACTCACCGACGCCCAGGTAGGAGTCGATGCGCGCATTGACCCACAGCGGCGTGTCCTCCCCGCGGCCACAGAACATCTCGCACACCTGCGGGCACACACACGCGCGCACAGAGGGGCGCACACAATGCGCGGGGTGAGCACGCATGCATCGTCTGAGCCATGCGCTAAACGATCCCTCTGACGTCTTTTTCCCTCGCCTCTGCTCCTCCTCGTCCCCTCAAAAGCTCTACCGCCCCCCACCGCTCGCTGCCAGGGGGCATGCTACTCTGCCAGCCGCTTTCCCCACCCTTCGCCCACCCATCACCCACCCATCGCCCACCCATCGCCCAGCCATGGTTCACCCCTCCCCTCCGAGGGGAGTCCCGGCGGCGTACCTCGTCGCCGGGCGCGACGAGTTCCGCCAGCAGCACGCGCTTCGCCCACTGCTGCAGCCCCGCCAGCTGCGAGCTCGCCGTCGCAGGGGCCATCGCAACGACTGGCGACGCCGCTGATAGACTGCAGGTACGGGTGACGGGTAAGTGCGGTCTAGTGCGGTAGGGTGCGGTCGAGTGCGGTTGAGTGCGGTCTAGCGCGGTGGGGAGCGGTCAGGTACGGTAGGGTGTAGACTAGTGCGGTGGAGAGCGGTTAAGGTGCGGCCGGGTGTGTAACGGTGCAGTGGGGGGCGGTCTAGCATGGTGAGGAGTGGTCAGGGGGGATTTAATGCAGTGGATTGCAATTAGGAATGGTCTAGTGCGGTGGAATGGGGTGACATGTTAAGGAGTACGGGCAGCTGCACGTGCGCTTATGCTCATGCGAGGCGGTGTGCGCGTGGCTGCGTGCGCGGGCAGCAGGGCCGGGCGCGGAACGGGACGGGACGGGCAGGGTGTGCGGCAGTGGCTGCTGTGCGCGCGGCGGCGGCGGCTGCTGTCTGCGTGGCGGCGGCTGCTGCGGGCGTGGCGGCGGCTGCTTCTCGTGTGCATGCAGTGGCGCACCCGATCGCGGCTGCTGCTGCTGTGGGACGAAAAAAAGGAGGAGGGGGGGGGGAGGAGGAGGGAGGGAGCAGCGTGCGGCGGCCTATGTGCGCGCGGGTGCGTGCAGGAGCTGCTGCGCGCGCGTTCGACTAGGACAGGGCGTGCTGCGGAGCGTTACGGGGCGTTACGGGGCGCGCTAAGGACGGAGCGCATTACGAACGGGGCGAGGCGCATTAAGGGTGGGACGGGGCGCGCTAGGAACTAACCTACTGCTAGGAATCTGAGTTGGTAGTGTGAGCAGTATCGTGACACAAGAAAGTATCGCTTCAGTAGTTCACGAATAGGTACATTACCCAGTCGTTACTTTGGTAGACTATATATTTCTTGTACTTTCTCATTATTATCAATTCTTGTTCTCACATTTGACTAGCACAGGATTTCACAAACTTCCGCTGCAACACTTATCAAGGATAAACTCTAAAAGATCCTAAGGCTAGTTTTTCAACCCAACATATTACTAGAGTAAAGGCCTTTCGATATCAGGGTGATTCACCCTTATGACCCTTATTATAAGGGCGGGTTTGACTATGCACCCTTTTTTACAAGACTGGTTTTGTTTTAGACCCTTACAAAAAAAAGTGATCGATTATACGACACTAATATTTCAGATCTATGTGGTGTAGTAGCACTGATGAAATCGAGTTTGATCTAAGAAATGATACCAGGATTGGTCGCGTAAAACACATTACACATGATGCCCAACCAGTGCACGCGAATTTGCCCTACACCGGATGGAAATGCTGCACCCGAGGTCTTTTCCCCAGCCTGTTGCACCCACGATACAAGCGCGTCGCGTGGTTATGGTGTCAGAACATTATAGCTTATACATTTGTGTAGGCTGTAGTGGGGTAGCCCATAAGGGGTACAACTCAATTAGGGTTAGTACTTGTACCCAACTGTTTCATAGTTCATCCATTCCATTCTCACTTCTCGTCATGGTATCGAGCAGGTTCCCGAGTGGGAGTACTGCCTAGGGCCCACCACGAACTTTTTTTTTCCTTCCCTGCCCGGAGCGCGCTTAGCTCCTAACCCGAGTACCGTAGCGCCTCAAGCCGCCTTAGTGGCCCTTATTGGCCGCCCTTACTGCCCCTCGAGCCGCCCTCTACGGCCTCGCTTAGGCCGCTACGGCCCCGCTTAGGCCCCGTCGGCCCCGCTACGGGCCCGCTTAGGCCCCGCTTAGGCCCCGCTACGGCCCCGTCGGCCCCGCTTAGGCCCCGCTACGGCCCCGCTACGGCCCCGCTACGGCCCCGTCGGCCCCGTCGGCCCCGCTTAGGCCCCGCTACGGCCCCGCTACGGCCCCGTCGGCCCCGCTACGGCCCCGCTTAGGCCCCGTCGGCCCCGCTACGGCCCCGCTTAGGCCCCGCTACGGCCCCGCTACGGCCCCGTCGGCCCCGCTTAGGCCCCGCTACGGCCCCGCTACGGCCCCGTCGGCCCCATCGGCCCCGCTTAAGCCCCGCTACGGCCTCGCTACGGCCCCGTCGGCCCCGCTACGGCCTTGCTACGGCCGCGTTTAGGCCCCGCTACGGCCCCGCTTCGGCCACGCTTAGGCCCCGCTACGGCCCCACTACGGCCCCACTTCGGCCCCGTCGGCCCCTCTACGGCCCCACTTAGGCCCCACTTCGGCCCCGTCGCCACCGCGGCCCCGCCCACCCTTGCGGCCCGCCGCCACCTGCGACCTCGCCACCACCTGCAACCCAACCTCCCAGCGCCCGCAACGCCGAGCAGCCGAATCGCCGGCCACCTGAGCCGCCCGACCTCCCGAGCCGCCCAGCAGCCGAGCCGCCCGACAGCCGAGCCGCCCAGCACCGTGCAGCCGAGCCGCCCAGCAGCCGAGCCGCCCAGCAGCCGGGCCGCCCGACAGCCGAGCCGCCCCGCACCAGCAGCCGAGCCGCCCAGCAGCCGAGCCGCCCTGCAGCCGAGTCGCCCGACAGCCGAGTCGCCGAGCAGCCCGATCGCTCCACCTACCTGGTAAGCGCACAGTCTCTGCCACTGCACTGCCCTGCCTCCTGCTGTTATGGCTTCCCCTAGCGTTCTCACCTTTACCGCTGAGGGTCGGGCAATGGACTTTGAGGTCTGGGTAGATGATCTGCAGCTTTTCCTGCAGTGCGATAGGGCAGACGGCCTCTCCCTGTTTGACCTCACTTCTGGTGCCTCCCCTGCCCCTGCTGCTGATGCTGACGCCACTGTTCGCTCACAGTGGGCCACACGTGACGCTGCTGCTCGCCTTGCTGTGCGCCGCCAATTACCGACCACTGAACGTGCACACTTTAGCCAGTACAAGAGTGCTCAGACCTTGTACGACGCTGTAGTTGCACGCTACTCTTCCCCTGCCACTGCTGCACTCAGCCGCCTCATGCTACCGTACCTCTTCCCTTACCTTGCTGCCTTTCCCACAGTTGCTGACCTCATTACGCACCTCCGCACTAGTGTTACTCGCTACCGCGCTGCGCTTCCTGCTGAGTTCTGCGCCAAGACCCCCCCTCATGTACATCACCCTCTATTACATAGTCACCCGTCTCCCTGACTCTCTCCGTGTAGTCAGGGACCACTTTCTCTCTGTTTGCCCCACCACTCTCACCGTTGACCTCCTCGGAAGGCCCTCCTAGCGATAGAGAAGAGCATAGTCGCTGTAGGAGCCTCTCGTGGTGACCCTCGCACCCCTGTCTTTGAGGGGTGTTCTCCCTCCCCCCTCTTGCCCTCTGTTCCCTCTGCTGCTGCGGCCGACCTCGTTGGTTTCGAGTTGGTCGGCGCTGCGTCTGCCCCGAGTGGGAGACGCCGCACCGGCAAGGGCAAGGGGGGCAAGGGCACTGGAGGAGGTGGAGGGGGCGGTGGAGGTGGTGGTGGAGGCGGTGGAGGGAGTGGGGGTGGTGGTGGGAGTGGTGCTGGGGGTGGCGGCGGCGGCGGCAGCAGTGGAGGCGGCGGAGGCGGTGGAGGTGGCGGAGGGAGCGGAGGCGGCGGAGGTAGTGGAGGAGGCGGAGGTGGAGGAGGTGGCGGAGGCGGCGGACGCGGCAGCGGCGGCGGAGGCGGCGGTGGTGGAGGGAGTCACGACTCTGCGTCGAGGAGTGGCGCCGGTGGTGGCCAACGCCAGCAGCAGCAGCGGAGTGGTGTGACCCTGTCCCCTCAGCAGCTTCGTGAGTGGTACACTGCACGCCAGCGCGGTGGGGGTTTTGGTCCCTGCTCTTACGATCTCCGTACCGGCGACCGCACTGGTGAGCAGTGCGGGGGTCCGCACTCCACCCAGCGCTGCTTTGGTCACCTGACAGACGCGTGGCGTCGCCAGTTCCCTGAGGCGTCAGAGATCCCTCGCTCGGGAGATCTGGCTAAGGCCGGGGTTGCTATCTTTGATCTTGACTTTGATGCTATTCTTGCTGCCATGTATGCTGTTGCTGATAGTGTTGAGGGTGCCTGATACCTGTGTGTACCGCCTGACCCGGGCATTCAGGCTGCTGCGCTAGGTGCTCGTGAGACTGCTGCTCTAGGTGCTAGTGCGTCTGCTGCCCCAGGTGCCAGTGCGTCTGCCGCCCCAGGTGCTGGTGAGTCTACTCTCTCAGGTACTACGCCGGCTCAGGCCTTCCACACCTTCACCCTGGACTCGGGTGCGTCCCGCTCCTTCTTTCGAGACCGCACCACTCTTACGCCGCTTAGTTGGCCGGTTGAAGTCTCCCTAGCAGACCCCTCTAGGGGTCCTGTCCTTGCTAGCTTCTCCACTGTCCTTCCGTGCCCTGCAGCCCCCTCTGGCACCCTGTCTGGTCTCTATCTCCCCTCGTTCTCTACGAACTTGGTGAGTGGAGCGGACCTACAGGATCGAGGGGTTGACCAGTTCACTCCTGCGAGTCAGCGAGTGACCCACTGCAGGTGTGCTCGGACAGGCCGACACTTGGCCACGTTCACCCGTCGGCCAGGGTCGAGCCTGTAGACCCTTACTGCTGAGTCTCCTACTGCTGAGTCTGCCCAGGTAGCTGCGTTGAGTCAGGTGTTTGCTGCAGCGTCCAGGTTTGGTCCTGAGTCCGCCCCCTGCTCGTGTCGTCTGCTGTCCCACCAGACTCTCCTTTGGCACCACCGCCTTGGTCACCCCACCTTGCCTCGTCTGCGAGGCATGGCCTTTCGTGTCCTTGTCTCTGGTCTTCCTCGATCTCTCCCTCCTCTTCCTCTGGGGCCTGGCCCTACCTGCGTCCCCTGCGTCGAGGGGCGACAGCGCGCCACCCCTCACTCCTCCGAGTTTCCTCCGACAGAGGCTCCGCTGCAGACTCTACACATGGACGTGTGGGGCCCAGCCCGCGTTAGTGGGCAGGGGAGAGAGCGGTACTTTCTGCTGGTCGTTGACGACTACTCACGTTACACCATAGTCTTCCCCTTCCGCAGCAAGGGTGACGTCACTGAGGTGTTGATCGACTGGATCCGCGCAGCTCGTCTCCAGCTCAGAGAGAGTTTCGGCTCGGACTTTCCTGTTTTGCGTC